CACATTCAGAAAACCTGACCTCTTCAGCTCGCTGATATTCAAACTCGTCCAAGACTTGATGCCCATACTGTATCAGTTTGAAGCGCCTACGTCGCCTCGTTCTCACATTCACGACCTTGAGCATCCGTGCTGCCCACGCTGGTACTGCACAAACATTTAAGGCAAGGCTAGAAGTATTTGTGATACATACCATTCACACAACTTGTGTGTTCTTCAGTAAGAGCCAGCTCTGCCGGCCTGACCTCTGCCTCCAGGGTCACTCTGTCCTCCTGCTTTCCTGAGGAGGAGCCGTTTATTTGCTGATCTGCCAAAGGAAAGAAATAAGATTTGTTATGGAATCTGCAGACTCAGGCATTTTTATCAAACAGTTTTTAAGTCAATTTGGGTCAAAGGTAACTTAACTGCAACTTTAAACAGTAACAGGGAGGCTAAACTAAACTTTACTAAGCATGACGCTGCAGTGTATCACAGCTGGTGTCACTGCAGGTTATGGAAATTTATTATTATTCCCACTTATTCAAATGCCTCGTGGGAATTTTTTCACAAAAGCAGTAAAACTGGTGACTGAAGCAGACTGAAAACATCTGTTACTTTTGTTATGGTACTCTGATTGTTGCCACTGACAAAAAATATCATTTAAATGCCTGCTATTCCCATTACTTAGCATTCCCACACATGAATAAGTACCTATGTCAGACTCTGTGTGCCCGTCATCACTGCCGTCATACTCCTCGTGCCTGTACGGGGGCCCCTCATACCGTTTCAGTCTCCTCTGTTCTCTTTGAGTGTTCCTTTGCCCTTTGTGGCTCCACCTGTGTCTTACGGAGCACATCCACCGGGCCCGCTGGCGCCAGCTCTTCCAGTGCTGAGAGAGCCGAAATCCAAGACCTCCACGGCACCGCAAACGCTGCAAGCGCCCGAGTCTTCTCAGAGCCCTGTACTTGCTTAGGTGGGACCTAAACAAGTCTCCCGCTTCACCCTGGCTTAGTGCGTGAGCTACGGGGGCCTCGCCGATCTCTTCAGCCTTCTGTTCTGGTCTCTGATGATCGTGCTGCTGTGAATGAAGGTGCTCGGAAGACTGGGAAGAAAAATCTGAGATTCCCCACTCCTCCACCTCCTGGTCTCCATCCTCTTCAACATCTTCATCCTCATTGTTTTCCAAACTCTTGCTGTCAAACTTACCCATGTCTTCACCATCAAAGTTGTTAACTTCATCGTCACCTACAGCTTCAGTCCCACCTATGCCATCTTCCTCATCCACTACATATTCACCCGTCCACACCTTTTCTTTATGTTCCAGTCTCAGGTGCATGGGGGTGGATACACTGTGATCTGACACTGGGACTATGAGGCGGTCCGCTGGAATCCCACCTATGAAACAAACAGCAGTGATTATCGTCCAATCAGGCATCACGACAGCCCAAAAGTACTGCTGCAGCTCATTACAACGGGTAACAATGTATGTATCTATGAGCTCTTCCTACATAATATAAACAAGGCACACAGTTGTGTCTTTTGCCCCTGAAGGTACTTATCTGTATCACATTACTTAGCAACCACCTACCAACATGCCAAACTATCCCATTTGTAGTGAGCATGGACCTCTGACACATTAAAAAAGCATCGTATCATCTTCATTTCACTAAAAATAACATCTAACCCACAGTGCTGTCCAAAGGTCTTGAGTCACCCCCTCAGGCTTACTTTGAATATTTGAACACAGCCTTAAGTAACAGCTCAAGCTGCTTCTTCAGTTTTCCTTGGGACGTCATTCATTTTTTATTTTTGGAGGTTTGGTTTTTGGCCTCATTTCACTCGGTGATGTTGGGGATCTTGTCAAAATCGAAATCTGGAAAAGTACGCCCAAATTTGGGTCAACCCTGCAAAACCACGAGGAAACGTTCTGCCTGGGAACACATTCAATCATTCGTCTTTGTGTTTAGTATCGGTTAATCCAACATCCTTTTTATCCTGGCAAAGAGAGACTGGCAGAGTCTGATTAGTGTTTGTTGTATGATCACCAATAAGTGCTTAAAGACACTATAGAAAAGCAGCAGTTATAATAAGATGAGAGCATGTGTGCATACATTCAGTCCGTGTTTATTAAGGTCAGCTATTGATGTGTGCTGTGATCGCTCCGTCCTTGATAAGGAACGATTCAATGAAATATCCTGGTGGGAAACCTAAGCTGCATGCTGGTTTCACACACCACTCACGTCCACGTTTTAGATACTAAGTAGATCAGGGGTGGGGAACTCGAGGCCTCAGGTGTCCTGCAGGTTTTAGATCTCACACTGGGTCAACACACCTGAATCAAATGTTCATTACCAGGCCTCTGGAGAACTTCAAGACATGTTGATTTAAA